CTGATCATTCTGTCCATTTCTGATACAGTGATATTGAAGTCTGCAACTATGATAGTGGAGTTATCTATTTCTCCTTGGCAGTTCTATTAGGTTTTGCTTCACATAGTTTGGTGCTCTGTTATTAGATGCATCCACATTAAGGACTGTTATGTCTTTTGGAGAATTGACCCCTTTATTACTATGTAATGTCCTTCTTTATCTCTGATAATTTTCCTTACTTTGAAGTCTGCTCAGTTATGAAATTAATACAGCTACTCCTGTTTTTTTTATTATTATTAATGTCAGCATGGCGTATTTCTCTATCCATTTACTTTTCATCTGTATGTGTCTTTATATTTATTTATTTATTTATTTATTTATTTATTTATTTAAGATTTTATTTATTCATTTGACAGAGAGAGACACAGTGAGAGAGGGAACACAAGCAGGAGGAGTGGGAGAGGAAGAAGCAGGCTTCCCGTGGAGCAGGGAGTCCGATGCGGGGCTCGATCCCAGGACCCTGGGATCATGACCTGAGCCGAAGGCAGACGCTTAATGACTGAGCCACCTAGGCGCCCCTATGTGTCTTTATATTTAAAGTGGTTTCAGGGCACCTGGGTGCCTCAGTCGGTTAAGGGTCTGCCTTCTGCTCAGGCCATGATTCCAGGGTCCTGGGATCGAGCCCTGCATTGGGCTCCCTGGTCAGCAGGGAGTCTGCTTCTCCTGCACCTTCTGTCGTCCCTCCTCTGTCTCTCTTAAATAAATAAGTAAATAAATAAATAAAATAAAAAATAAAGTGGTTTCATATAGACACCATATAACTTGTGTTTTTTTGATCCACTCTGATAATCTCTGTCTCGTGCATTTACATCATTGACATTCATAGTGATAATTGATATAGTTGGATTAATACCTAGCATATTTGCTAATATTTTCTGTTTGTTGCCCTTGTTTTTGGTTCATAATTTTTGTCTCTCATTCTTTTTCTGCCTTTTGTGGTTTTAATCAAGCATTTTATGTGATTACATTTTCTTTTCTGGAGAATATCAGTTATACTTCTTTTTAAACTTTTTTTTAGTGGTTGCTCTTGAGTTTGTAATATACATTTACAACCAATCCAAGTCCACTTTCAAATAAGACTATAAGATTTCACTGGTAGAATAAGAATCTTATAATAACAAAATAATTTTAATTCTTTCCTCCCATATCTTGTGTAATTGCTGTCATTCATTTCAAATATAGAAGCATTAATAACATATTTGTATATACATAAGCATATATATGAATACATTGTTCCTAATATTAGTATTTTGAACAAATTGGTTTTTTTAAGATTTATTTATTTATTTATTCATAAGAGACAGAGACAGAGAGAGAGGCAGAGGGAGAAGCAGGATCCCCGCCGAGTAGGGAGCCCGATGTGGGACTTGATCCCAGGACCCTGGGATCACGACCCGAGCTGAAGGGAGATGCCCAACCATCTGAGCCACCGAGGTGCCCTATTTTCAACAAATTGTTATCTGTTGGATTAAAAAAGAATAATAAAAGTAAAAGTTTTTGTTTAACCTTCACTTATTCCTTCTTTGATGCTTTTCCTTACTTTATGTAGATTTAAATTTCTGATGTATATTATTTTTGTTTTCTCTAAAGAACTTCTTTAACATTTCCTGTGAGGCAGGTCTACTAGCAACATATTCCCTCAATTTGTCTGAGAAAATATTTACTGCTCCTTCACTTCTGAAGGATAATTTCACAGGGTACAGAATTCTAGGTTGGTGGGTTTTTCCCCCCTCCAACACTTTAAATATTTCACATCATTCTCTGCTTGCTTGCATGGTTCCTGAGAAGTCAGATGTAATTCTTATCTGGAGGTAAATCTCACAATATTGTGGGGACCTCCTTCTGACTGGGCTCCCCTGGAGTTTTTAACTCTTAGAGTTGTCTACACCAAGACTCCAGAAATTTTATAAATTACAGTTAGGTTTTGCTATCCTAACACTGTTTCCTGTGGTGGTTTATGAGTCTCTGCTCTGGTCACTGTGACTCCCTGTATTTGCCTACCTGTCTCTCCAACTTCAGAGACAGTGGTTTTTCCTCTGTCCTTACCTCTCTTAGGGATCCAAGAGGAGTTATTAATTTTTCAGCCTATCAGCTTTTCACTTGTTAGGATGGTGTTGTGACTTATACGTGGAACCCCCCCTTTTTAAAGATTTTTTAGAGAGAGAGAGAAGGGAGGGGTAGAGAGGCAGGGAGAGGGAGAGAGAGAGAAGCCCAAGCACACTCTACACTGAGTACAGAGCCCCACACAGGGCTCAATCCTACGACCCTGAGATCAAGAGTCAGATGCTTACCCGACTGAACCATGCAGGCACCCCTGGAACCTGTTTTTTAATCATAAGATTTCTCTCTTTAGTTAAATTCATCTTATGCCTTGTAATCTATTAAAAGAATTGATTAAATATACAAATAAATTATTATTTATTCATAGTAAAATCGAGGCTTGCCTTGGAATCATTTCTTGCAGGGTATTTTATGTAGCTAAAAAAATAGGGCAATGAATTTCAACTCTGATCCTGATGACTTGTGTGATAAAATCTTAAGCAAGTTACCAAGCCTCAGTTTCCCCATCAGTAAATCAAGGATAATATATACTTTAAGCCATTATTCTCATTATTCTGTAAATGAACTAATTTATACAAATTGCCAAATAGGACACAGGGTAGTTACTCAGTCTGTTATTAGTGTTGCTATTTCACATCTGCAGTGTTTTGGAAAATAGCATGGTTAATCAATTGAGTGGAAGAACATAGCCTAACAGATAACATATAGATCATTCATATTGGCCGTGACACTATCCATGATGGCTGCTTTGACAATGGAAATCACCACTATTAATATATGGCTTAAAAGCAGATATCAATTTCTTCACATTGGTCAATTATAATTTGCCCATAGATTGCACATGTAGTAAGTAATATTTTGATATTTAACTATAGGTTTTTTCCCTCCTACTGCTTCCTTGGATTAGTTACCTTTTCCTGATCATTTAGGTAATAGAACCTAGCAGGCTGGAGTCAGGACAGACACTACTCAGAATTAAGAAGTCATTTATCAGTTTTGAGTTTCACATTAAGCCTTTTAAAAAGTTCACAGTAGAAATAATATTGTTGAAATCATAGCTTTACTTTGCAGAAAAGGGGCATTTTGAGAGAAGAATTTGCTGAGCCCCAAAGCACTGAGAGACTTGAAAGACTCATTTTATACCAGAAATCTGAGTAAGGAAGAATGCATGGGTAGAACAGCAGGCCGCAAAGAGGTAAAATTTGGCCTGCATACAGAAAAAGAGAATTAAATATGACCAGAAGAGGCTTTGTGATTGGGTAAGGAGGCTGACCACATTGACTAGAGAAAACAACTGCAGGTACAGCATAGACAAAAGGTAATGCTCAAGACCAAGAAGATCGATTACACCTCTGCAGAGGCCAGTGAGAATGGCACTTGCACCAGGACCCTTCCCCTGATGACAAAACAACATAAATGTACCCCCCAATCCCTGCCCCAGGAATTTAGGTTACTTCCAGGAAGAAAATGAGAAGGAGAATTCTGAACTGAATGATAACCCAAAAGAGACTGAATTTTAAGGCAAAAGTGTATGTGACGAAGGCCTTTAAGCAGAAGAGCTCATATTCTAAGCTAGGTTAAGTTCTAGAGAAATTTTTAAAATTAATTCATTTTCTAACTTTAGAGTTTGTGACCATATTGAGATATCACATCCACTAACTATATGATCAGGCTTGACGATACCCCAAGCTTTAGTTCTTCTTGGCTAATCTGAGAGCGTCCATCATCTGAAATGATTTTCAAGATTATAAAGAGCAAGGAAAGGAAAAATTTCTTGTTCAAATAATACTTTCATCTGTCACAAAATTTTAAATAGGTACATGTATTATTATCATGGGTACTTCAGAACACTACACTGAAAATTACTTTCTCAAATAGGCACATTATCTTAAACAGATTAAACCTATTTTGTTATATCTTAATTGAAAAATAACTTTCACAAATATAACTCAAGGAGTTAGCTATCAGGTACAAATATTTTGAAACCTATTATAAACTTTAAAAGAGTTTAGAAAACTAGAATTTTTCTTTTATAAACTGTAAATAAAATTATGAAGTATAGTTATAAAAATAGCCTTTTAAATATGCAAATTAAATTGAAATATTTTTATACAATCAGCCTTAAAAGGTTTCAGCCTTGTCTTCAGCTGAGCATAGTGGGTACTCTCTACAATCTGTAGGTTTAACCATTTTTATTTGTAACTGCATTTCTGAGTCATGTGCCAAAGTTGATTGTGTTACAGCAAAGCCATCTGAAGTGTTAGCTATAATAAGCCATGTTAATTCATAATAGGATTATTAATGTTAGACATAACAAGATTATTAATATCAGGTTTTATGTCAGCTATCCTCTTACTTAGTCTTAGGCATGAAGAAAGGTGAGGAGAAAATGAACTTGAGATACCTTTTTGATGTTGTTGCTTTGAAAGCATTAAATCCTAAAAGTAAATATTTAAAAACCATTATCTTCAATAATATTTTTTCTGTTCCTAAAAATTTGATTCAGTGGAGCCATGAGAAGGAGCACTTTTATCTTAATATGGACAAGTTAAATTTTGAAATGTTGCCATGGACATAGCATATAACTTTCAGTGAGAAAAAAATACACAGTAGTCTACACTCTAACATTCTTTTTTTTTTACGAGCTGGTATTTACCTTATAATGATGTTATAACTTCAAATTTTTCACAGAATAGTACTAAAGAATTTAAAGACAGAAAAGTAAACAAAAATTTTTATGCCTTGCAACACTCTAAAACTGTTATCTAATAACAAAGAAAAAATAATTGTTACCTTCTGAATAAGATAAAAAGTAAAATACCTGAAGCATTGAACATACAACATTATTGTAAATGTCAATATTTATGGACTACTGTGAAGACAGTGGTAAAAAAGCAAGTTTTAATAAAAAATTTGAAACAGAATCATTTAAAATATCATAACAGTTTAAATCATTGTAACTTTATGTGTTTCTTTTCTTCAACATTTTTACTTCATATGATAGTGAAGGCAACATGTTTATAAATAGGCATTCATGAATAGAGTTATATCCTACATACTCAAAATATTTATACAGAGTCTTCCACTATTCTTCTGTAAGCATTCCTATTGTCTATCTACTACTATCAACTGCAGGCTTGGAAGGCACTTTAGCAAACAGATTAACTGATTCAAAAAAAAAAGAGAAAATATATGTTATTAAGACAGACCTCTGTTAGTGGATGCTGGTTAAGAATCCAAAGAATTTTCTGAACCTTTTTTCCTATCATTTTTGTTGGCATAGTCTGTGTTCTACATTGCCATTTGGCCATGTTAATCTTTCATTCCAATGCGTTTTCTTAGTTCAGCTGCAGTTTTTTCCAGTTGGTGAATGTTCCATTGCCATTGTCTTTTATTTGACTGAAGCTTGTTCACCTGACAATGCAAACGCTTAAGAATTGCACCATATCTCTTATGTTGCACCTATTAAAAGAAGAGTACATGTCAGCAGGGCTTGAGAAGGATAAGTAGTAAATGGCCATAAAGGATATTTTGACTACTCTAAAGAAGAAAACACTTGATTAGAAATTCCTCACTGTAAATAATAATGGTAATAAAAATAAACAGTAATAATAACTATTCAACACTTATTACATGTTAGATACTATACTGAGAGCTTTTTAGATATAATTAAATTCTCATAATACCATATGATGTGGATAGATATTATTATCTCCATTTTTGTACAAAAAAATCTGAAGATTGAAGAGTTTAAGTAATTCAACCAAGGCTTCATAGCTAGCAAGTGATGGTGTTTGAGATCTGAATTCAAGCAAAGCATCTGTGATGGAGTGCCTTCGAGTTATCAAAATAGTTACCAGTTAGGAGAAATGGTTTCATTCCCTATATCCAGTGGTTCATTGAGACCCATCCATCTCAAAGATCCAAAAGATCATATAGTCATAATAATAAGTAGAGCAGTATATTTATGCTGAGCCAGACGGTGCTACTACACTGGAAGGCAATGAAGCACAGTGGAAAGTGCAAGGCTTTTGGTGTCAGGCCATGAGAAAGTAGAAAGGAAAAAATTCCTAATATTAGTGTTAGCTATACAAAAAATACCCAATCTTCTTTTTTAAGACAGCTTTATTGAGATATAATTCACATATCATACAATCCATCCTTTAAAGTGGACAATTCAATGGGTTTTAGTACATTCAGAGTTGTGCAACTGCTACCACAATCAATTTTTAGAACATTTACATTACCTCAAAAAGAAAGGTAGTACCCGTTAGCAGTGACTTCCCATTCCCACACCCCCACTCTTAGCACTAGACAATTACTAACCTTTTCTTTATATAGATTTGCCTATTCTGGATATTTCTTATAAGTGGAATCATACAGTATATGGTCTTTTCTGATTGGCTTCTTCAACTTAGCATAATCCTTTTAAGGGTCTACCATGTTGTGGCATGTATTAGTACTTCATTACTTTTTATTGCCAAATAATATTCCATTGTAGAATAATGCCAAATTTTATTTACCCAATTCATCAGATAATGGACATTTGTTTCCAGGTTTTGCTATTATGAACAATGCTGTTATGAACATTCATGTGCAAGTTTTTGTGTGGATTTATATTTTCACTTCTATAGGGTCTATACCTAGGAGTAGAACTGAGATCATATGGTAATTCTACTTCAACCACTTGAGGAATTGCCAGACTGTTTTCCATAGTGACGGCACCATTTTTACATTCCCATGATTCCTGTGTGAGGGTTCAAATTTCTCCACATCTTGAATCTCCTCTCTGCTTTTCCCCCAGCAAAGGATACTTCCTGTTTCCAAGCTCCTCCCTCAGCATGGCTTCTCTACTTTTATTATGCCATGGGTTCTTTCGACAGTATGGTGAAGACTATGGACTCCTTAGAATAATGTTTTTAATGCATCAAATAAAACATGCACAATTACAAAGGAAATCAATTATATTGAAACACAACTCTGCAGCAGTAGCAGAGGAACAGGGACCAAGACACTCTAAGTATTCCAAAGTACTGCTGTAAAAATGAAGTGAAAACTTGTCAACTAAAAATTCACATAAATTTCTATAAACTTTGTCTTTTTAAGTCTCCAGTTTTTGTTAATTCTGTAAATTCAGATAATTCATTGAAATTGGTGAACCAGGCCTACTGGTATGTTGGCAAAATAAAAAAATGACTTGAAAAGGATTAGAAATAAATTAGTTTAAATTGAAACATCATATTAGATATGAAGCTATATTCAAAAGAAGATTTTTTAAACATTGAATATATTTCTATTTAAAAATATATATTCACTATACATATTTATATATAATATATATTCATTGGTATATTCAATAGAATATATTCATAGGGAGAGCATAATAACTAAATATGCCCATACTCCTGTTCATAAAATATATTCATAGAAATAAAATAACTAAAACAAATTTTTGGTTAATCAATACATTTGGTCAGTTGCACAGTAGCATATTTCTAAAATTATTCTTCATTAGTTAAGCTATGAAACTAATAGACAATGGATCAGAGTAGAGATGTGCAAAGTCCCCTCCCAGATCACCAGTCATAGCTAGATGTCACAGATGATATTAATGTAGCTAAAGAAAGAATGTATCTAAAGAAAGAATATCTTCAGAAGAGGTTTTGTGAAGAATGTAGTACATACATAGGAAGGTGAAGGAGTCATGCACTGGTAGTGTCTATTTATCTGACACAAGTATAACTCTGTTATGGAGATTGGCTTGAGCACCCAGAGCCAGAGGCCAAGAACAGTCAAACTCAGATGACTGACTTGATTTCCATGCTCACTAACTAAAAATTTGTGATAATTTGGTTTCCACTGTAGTTTCCTTATAAGGAAGAAGAAGCACTAATGACTGACATAAGTTATCTGGTTTCCTTGAGAGTTTTATTATTGTAAATTAATAAACTGGTATTTGAGTTTCATACATCAGTTTCTTGTGAACTCTACTAGCATCTCTCCATGTCTACTGAATACTGGGACACTAACAAGATTAAGTTTCTAAGTTCACAAGGCTAAAAGGCAGTTTTGACCAAAAAGTGACTTTACTTTTTTTCACATGCCAATATTGCATTTATCTTATTTTGTTTTATTTGAATTCCAGTTAACATTTAGTGTTATATTAGTTTCATGCGTATAATATAGTGATTCAACAATTTCATATGTCACCCAGTGCTCATCACCACAGGTGCACTCCTTAATCCCCATCACCTATTTCACCTGTCACCCACCCACCTCCCCTCTGGTAACTAATGGAATTTAATAAAAACTTGAAACTAAACAAACAAACACAACCAAATAAAACATCTCACACACACACACACACACACACACACACACACATGTCACCACCACCAACCACCACCACCACCAAATGAGCAAAGGGAAAAAAGAAGAGGGAGAGACAAGAAGTGACTTTATAAAGGCAAAGGTCGCATTGTGAGCCTTCTTGAAAGACAGGCATTTGTTCAGCTTCTACTGGTAACATTGAGACTTTGATATGTATCTTAATATTCAAATTTGAATATCTGTAGGCACTAAGGATGTAAATGGTTCTGTATAGAACATAACTTTTTGCCTCTAGGAAGTGGATGGGCTACTAATCTCATTAATTACTGTTGCTGGCTAGGCAGAACTAAGAGCAATAGTGAAGGAGGGGTGGTGCCCACAAAACACAGTGGCAAAAAGAAAGCAAAGCCCTGTATAAGCCAAATCACCTCATTCACTACTTTTTTTTTTTGTTCCCTCCATTCTAGCCACACTGTTCTTCTATTCTCCGAGCCAACGTATGTTCTCATCTTAAGACATTTACACTTGCTTTTTTTTTCCTGGAAAGCTCTTCCTCAGATCTGCATGCCTCTCCTTCACTTCTTTTAGGATTTTGCTGAAAGAGACCTACTCAGTAAAGATTTTGATGGCTGCAAGATCTAATATTTCACCTTCTCTCTCCCTGCAATGCATGTATTACATATTCCCTTCTCTGCTCCATTTTTTTTGTTGTTGTTCTTAACCCTATCCTTAGCTAACATGCTGTATGTCTTACACATCTTGTTTAGGTCTGTCTCTTCAACTAGAAGGCAAGTTCATGAAGACATATATTAGAAAGGGTTTTATGAAGAATGTAGCACACACATAGAAAAGTGAAGGAGTCATGTGCTATTTTACTCACCACTCTATTGTCAGAGCCTAAAAGAGTAACTAGCACATAGTATGAGCTCAATAAATAAGTTGAATAAATTACTGAATAAATATATGAATATTTGGAAACCAAATGACTGCTACCCTACTTTGAGAAGAATGTTATATAAAATATATTACTAAATTCTGTATTGTTCAGAATGTAACAAAGACTCCTAAAATGTCATTGTTTTACCATGGAGAAAATGCTGCACTTAAAAGACTTGGAGCTTACTGGTTACCATTTGAACATGTCCTGTAACTTCTCTTCTGGTTGTTTAATCTAAAATTATGGTTAAATATATTTATGGAAGTATAAATACACAGATTTTTAAGGCTATGGTTAAATGACTTTTGACAAATGTATACACCCATGTTGTGTGTGTCAGTATTTCATTCTTTTTATCACTGAGTAGTATTCCATAACACGGAAATTCCTCAATTTGTTTATCCATTCTCTTTTTGAGGGACATTTGTAGTGTTTCTCTTTTGGGGCTATTATGAATAAAGCTTCTATGAATATTCATATGCAAGTTTTATTTTAAGACATATGTTTTCTTTTTTCTTGAGTAAACACCTAGGGATGGAATTGTTGAAACATACAATAGGTATGTGCTAACTTTTTAATAAACTGCCAAACCATTTTCTAAAGCAGCTGCACCATTTTATAATCTCACCAAAAATGCAAGAGATTTTCAGTTGTTCCACACCCTTGACATTTGGTATTATCATTCATTGTAATTTTAACCTTTCTATTGGTTGTGAAATGATATCATACTGTGGTTTTAATTTTCACTTCCTTGGTGGTTAAAGATGCTGAGCATCTTTTCATGTACTTACTGGCCATCCTATGTCTTCTGTGAAATTTGTTTATATCTTTTGCTCATTTTTAAAATGGATTGTTAAGAGTTCTTTATATATAGGCCTTTGATATGTCTTCTCTCAGCTATATGTATTGCAAATATTTTTACTCCTATGATTTTGTCTTTTCATTCCTTTTTTTTTAAGTGGGGGGAGGGGGTGGTGGGTGAGTGTGGAGGCAGAGGCAGAGAGAGAATCCTTTTCTTTTTATATATAACGATTTTATTTATTTTTTGACAGAGAGAGAGAGACAGCGAGAGAGGGAACACAAGCAGGGGGAGTGGGGGAGGGAGAAGCAGGCTTCCCACTGAGCAAGGAGCCCGATGTGGGGCTAGATCCCAGGACCCTGGGATCATGACCCAAGCCGAAGGCAGACGCCTAACGACTGAGCCACCTAGGTGCCCCAGCAGAGAGAGAATCTTAAGCAGGCTCCCTGTTGGGGGTAGGGCTCAATCTCACAACCCAGAGATCACGATCTGAGCCAAAATCAAGAGTCGGATGCTTAACCAACTGAGCCACCCCAGGCACCTCTATCTTTTCATTTTCTTGAGAGCATCTTTTGAAGAATGAGGTTTCAAAGTTTAAGGTCCAATGTATCAATTTTTTCCATTATGGTTAGTGCATTTTGTGTTCTAAGAAATCTTTGTTTAACCCAAATCTAAATGAAGATATTCTCCTATGGTTTCTTCTAGACGCTTTACGGTTTTAGCTTTTACATTTAGATCTCAGATCTACTTCAAATGCAGTGTTATGTATGTTGTGAAGTAGGCATAGGGGTTCATTGTTTCCAGACAGATACCCAGTTGTTCCAGCACCATTTCCTTTCTTCATGGAATTATCTTGACATCTTTGTCAAATTAACAAAGTGTGATTGATTTTTGAACTGTGTTCTGTTCCATTGGTCCATTTATTTATTCTTTCACCAATACTACAGTTTCTTAATAATTGTAGCTTCATAATAAATCTTAATATCAGTTAGGGCAGTATTACAACTTTATTCTTCTTTTTCAAGTTTGTTTTAGCTAACTAGATCCTTTGCATTTGTGTATAAATTTTAGAACAGCTTGTAAATTTCTACAAAAAATATCTACCGGGATTTTTTTATGGAATGGTGTTGAACCTATAGATCATTTTTGGAGAAAGTTGACACTAAAATATTGAGTTTTCTAAATCATGAACATATTATATCATTCCATTTATTGTTCTTTAATTTCTCATTAGTATTTTTATTATAGAAGTTTTATAGATTTTTTCATTAAATTTCTTAGCAAATATTTTATGTTCTTTAGTGTCAATGAAGAGTTTTATTTTATTCATTTCACTTTTCAGTTGCTTGTTGCTACTTCATGGAATCTATATAGAATGGAAATAGAATAGAAAAAAATACAATTGATTTTTTGTTTTAACCTTTTATCCTGTGACCTTACTAAATTTACTTGCTTATTAGTCTTTTTGTAGATTCTTTAGGAATCTACATAAGCAATCATGCTGTCTGTAAATATAATTTTACTTCTTTACAATCTTTATGCCTTATTTTCTCTTGCCTTATAGCACTGATTAGGATCTCTAATATGATGTTTTAGGTAGGATAATACATCTTTGCCTTGTTTCCAATCTTTGGGGGAAAATCATTCAACATTTTATAGTAAACATGATGTTGTTAGCTGTAAGTTGTTTTACGGATGCCCTTAATTAGGCTGAGAAAGTTTCCTAGAATTCTATTCTTAATTTGCTGAGTGTTGTTATTATGAATGGTGTTGAAATTTGTCTAATGCTGTTTCTGCAACTATCAAATTATTTCTTTTTAACTCCTTCAATTTTGTTAATGTACTGAATTACATTGTTTACTTTTTGAAAAGTGAAAATCAAAACTCTCTCTCTCTATATATAGGTAAATACAATAGACAAATGGAGAGGTCATAGCTAATGGGTATGGAATTTCTGTTTTGAGGTGATGAAAATTTCTAAAATTAACTGAAGTAATGGTTACAAATTATCTGTGAATATACCAAAAATCACTGAATTGTGCACTTTCAATGGGTGAATTGTATCTCAATAAAGTTGTTTTTAAAAATCAGAATAGTGGTAGCCTAAGGAAAGGGGCACAAAAGAATTTCCTAAGCATGAATGGGCAAGTTTTACATCTTGATCTAGATAATGGTAACATGGGTGTAAATATATATCTTAGTCAAAATTAATCAAGCTAAACCTTTTAATTTGTGTACTTACTCTTATAATTATACCTCAATAAAGAAGATTAGAGTAAAAAATTAATAGGTAATCTCAAATTCCTTTCCAAAATGCTTTTTACCAATTTATATTCATACCAATAGTATATTAAAATTCAAGTGCTCCACATATTACCAACTATAATATTGATAATCTGAGGGACTAAATATGGAACCCCATTGTGGTTTTAATTATTAGTCTGTTATTATTAATTAGGTTAGTGATTTTTCCCATTATTTTTTAAATATTCATGTTACAAAAAATAAGACTTTTCATATCATTTACTCAATGTTCTATTGGTTTGTTTGACATCTTATCTCTTAGTCACTTATATAAATCACAAATACCTTCTCTCAAAATGAGTATTCTCTTCTCTATTGTTATGGTGCATTTATTATTAATAATTAGAAATTTATGATATTGTCAAAAGTAATATTTAATCATGCAGTTTGAGTGTGTGTCTTTTAAAAGAAATACTTCTCTGACATAAGTGGGTAAGTTTGTCTCTTATACTGTCTTTAATCTTCCTGGAAATGGTTATATGTGTGTGTTATAAGACAGAAATACAATTTTATTTCTAAATTTGCTTTATTTTTCCATATGGCTAACCTATTTTGTTTGTACCATTTATGAATGATTATATCTGTATTCTTATTTCTATTTCATTAGTCATTTTATTTCTATTTTGATGCCACTGATAGTGTCTTACTATTTATAATTTTATAATAAATCTTGATCTAGAAGGTAAAAAAAAATCACTTATTCAGATTACTAGAAAAATGTAAGATAAAGTAATGATGTTTCTTAGATAAATGTTTTGTAAAGGTGAGGATTTTTATCTTCAAATTCCTCAGATGCTTTCCTATTGTGACAAATTAGCCATAAGCAAATTAGTCACAAGCAAATGCATCTTTTTAGTTTTCAAATTAATGTCTTAAGGGTGAAAATTATTTATTTGCCCTCAACAACAGATTCTTTTCCATTTTTGTTCTCCATTCATTTAAATAATAATGACCATAGAAGTCTACTAGTGGTACCCCAAATTTAATCTCACTTTCAGTTTTGCATATCAGTTTTTTTTTATTCTTAATAATAGAAAATATAAAGTCAGAGAGGTTTAGAATACTAATGACTTCCATTGTCTCTTACTCTATTTTAAGGAGTTTCTGATGTCTCTCTAGTAATGGTCATCCTTTTTGACTTGATAATCTCTGCTTTCTAGACATTAATTAAGAACCAAGGTGTTGGTGGAATAAGACCTACAATAATTCTAGGCCACATTTTAAGAATGAATGCTTGCTTTGTTTGAATACATTTCACATATTTAAGTATCTAAATGAGGGAGTTATCTGTATTAATGATTTGAACTTTACTACTTTTTATAGTTCTATTTTGTTCTCTAGCTGTTTTAGAAATTGAGAGTAAACTACGGAAATTATAAATATGGTATAAGCTTAAGAAATGATACCATAAAACATTGAAATCAGATAATTAAGACTTACCTCTATTTCTTTTCTTAATTTTTCATGTGTCTTTTTTTCTTCTTCAAGAAAACAAGTTTTTTCAGTGATAGATTCTTTTACAGTTATAATTTTATCCTTTAACTTTGTAATGTCTTCCTGTATGTTTATAAAGTTTAAAATATACAAGTCAAACAATGAATGGTCAATATAAGTCCAACATTTTCAGTATTTCTATAATTTAAAAAAACTAACCATCACATTTAATTTCAGTAAGCGGGATTAGAATATTACTTTTATAGGTACAAATAAAGAACTGTTATTCAAACAAATAAACCTTTGATTTAAAAACTTAAAATTAAAACTAAATGCAAGTAAGATATAAAAAAAAGTGGTAGTCATACTGGCCATTGCCCAGCAACAGTAACTCATAATACAGTAAATGTTAATTAAATTGAATTTAAATTAAAAAAAATAATAAAATAAAAATCTTAAATTAAAACTAAATGTAAATAAGACATAAGAAGAGCGGTAGTCATAGTGGCAATTGCCCAGTAACAGTATGAAGGATACTTTTAAATTCTCTAGCAAGAAATGACAGATATTTTAAGTTTATATCTCCTATTGCCTTCAAAAAATAGTATTAAAAAAAGAAAAATTATTAAGGTACAATTATTAATTGTTATTGTTTGTATAATAGCATTAAGCATACAAAATTGAATTGAATTGGTCAGATCCATTAGCCTAAGAAGATAGGGCTTCAACATTTTTGTGAGTCACACTTTCTGAAAAAATGGATTAATTGTTCATTGCAATTTTGTTTGACCATATATTTTTATTAATCCACTGAGGATTTGAGAACAACTCCCTTATGTATTTGTACATTTGGTGTAGTTGTTACATAACTCATGTATTTAAGTTTTTAAAAGTTGTGAAAATAGTTTCTGAATCTAGTTAAGGCAGCTATGGACATTTTACTAATGATAAATGTATTACTTAGTAAGTGTACTTGCAAAAAAGGAGTAATAGAAAAAGTTATGATAAGTGGTATTTCAAACCTGTACTTCTTTTATGCGATTTCCATCTGGATTTTGGAGATTTTGCATAAGTTCCTCTTTCGTTGTTTTTAGTTTTTTAACAAGATCTCGTTTTTCATGTAGTGCAGTCATGAATGACCATTTGCTTTCTACCTCCCCCAAACTATCTTTATGCTCTTTTATTTTTGCATAATATTCATTATATCTTATCATGTGTTCCTCAAAGTCTTCTTGGGCTGCTTCTATGTCAAATTTAAGCTTGACATTTTCTGTATGTAAGGATTTGATTTGAGTTTCCAGGTTCCCACATTGAAGTTTGGCATGCTCTATGGCAGCATCTTGCTGATAAATCTGCCTTTCTGTTTCTTTAGTTTCTGCAGAGACAGATGCTATTTGTTTTTCAAGCTTATGGAGTTCATTCTGTAAAATATTTCAATATTATTATTATTAATTCATGATATTCAACATTAAGAATGTTATTGTTTTGATCCATAAGTCTGTAGTAAAATCACAACATAAAAAATACATATCAGATATAGAAAAATTGATATACAATAAAAGGAACCATTCAATAAGTAACAAAATTATTTTATAATGTTGGAGGGAGCCCAGAGTTATATATTTCTTACTTTTTAATGTTTATCTAATTCAAAATATTAAAATTTTATCATTTGTACCTCAAACTCAACAGGAGATTGAAGAAAAGAATAGTAGCAACTCTCTGAACAAAAAAGCAACCACTTTCTGGAAGGTAGGACATAGAAGTGAATCTGAGTTGATATATGGGAAGACAGACCGCAGGGGGAGGGAGCCTCCATCAGCTGCTACCAGCAAGCAATAGAGCAGTGGAGCACAAAATCAGAAATTTTAGAAGTTTGCTCCACTGAGGGACATCACTCCACTGGCTAAGCGGGGGATGGAACCCTCGCTGGGACAGTGTGGTCTCGGGACCCTTGGGGTCACAGAAAGACTGGGGGTGCTTGAGTATGGCAGAGCTCCCAGGTATCGAAGCAGGCTGCAAAGACGGAGCCGAGGAGTGGGCTCTCAGCTCAGGGTGGCCATAAACCGTGATCCACGGCATAGTCTGGCCACTGCTCTTCCAGCAGGGACCCAACAAGCGGCAGATCTGGGGAGACTCACTCCTCTTCCTCCCCTGGGAGGAGCGGCATGGGAGCGCACTGCAGGAATCTGCTGGGTTTGGAGACTCCACACAGGGTCGGGTGCCAGAGATAGAAATGCTCAGTCACGGTGAGCACGGAGTGCAGCCAGAGACCAGGGAGACAGGAGTGACTGACTGCTTTTCTCTGAGGGCACACTGAGGAGTGGGGCCCTGAGCTCTAGGCTCCTCCAGGACCAGAGATTGGGAGGCCGCCATTTTCACTCTCGTCCTCCAAAGCTGTACGGAAAGCTTGCAGGGAACAAAAGATACTGAGAGCAAACCCGAGCAGATTACTTAGCCTGGCCTCTGGCAAGGACAGGGCAGTTCTGCCTCAGGCAAAGACATTTGAGAATCACTGCAACAGGCCCCTCCCCCAGAAGATCAGCAAGAACAGCCAGCCAAGACCAAGTTTACTGATCAATGAGAATGGCAAAACCCCAGCACTAGGGGAATACAGCACATAGAATTCATGGCTTTTTTCCCCATGATTCTTTAGTCTTTCAAAGTTAATTTTTTAAATTTTACTTTTTTCTTTTTCTACTTTTTTAGTTGAATTTTTCTTCTTTCCTTTTTCAATCAACATCTTATCATTCCTTTTTTAAAATCTTTTCTAATTTTTCATTTTTACAGTCATATTCTATCTCTTCATTGTATTTAACCTTACTTTTTGTATATATATAAGTTTCTCTTTCTTTAAAATTTTGGGATACAGTTTCTTCTAACAGACCAAAATATACCCTAAATCTAGTGTATGACGTTGTTCTAGTCTCCCGTCTATTCACATTCTCTTTTTTTTTTAATTTTTTCATTCTTTTTTCAACCAACTTATCCTTTTTTAAAACCTTTTTTAATTTTCATCTTCACAGTCATATTCTATCACTTCATCAAATTTACCCTTATTTTTGTGTATATATATATATGTTTTTCTTTCTTTAAAATTTTGGGAGGCAATTTCTTCTAACAGACCAAAATACACCCAAAATCTAGTGTGTGGCTCTGTTATTTTCACCAGCCTGATCATATTCATTTTTTCCTCCCCTTTCCTTTCCCCCAGGTTTCAGGTCTCTTCTGATTTGTTTAGTGTATATTTTTCTGGAGCCATTGTTACCTTTTTAGCATTTTTTTAGCATTTTGTTCTCTCATTCATCTATTCTTCTCTGGACAAAATACAAGATGGAAAAACTCACCTCACAAAAAAGAACAAGAGGCAGTACCGACTGCCAGAGACCTAATCAATACAGACATTAGTAAGATGTTGGAACTAGAGTTCAGAATGATGATTATAAAGATACTAGCTAGGCTTGAAAAAAGCATAGAAGATACCAGAGAATCCTCTTCTGGAGAAATAAAAGAACTAAAATCTAACCAAGTCGAAATAAAAAAGGCTATTAATGAGCTACAATAAAAAATGGAGGCTCTAACTGCTAGGATAAATGAGGCAGAAGAGAGAATCAATGATATAGAAGATCAAATGATGGAGAATAAAGAGGCTGAGAAAAAGATAAACAACTACTGGATCACGGGGCAGAATTTGAGAGATAAGTGATACCATAAAGTGAAACAACATTAGAATAATTGGGATCCCAGAAGAAGAAGAAAGAGAGAGAGGGGCAGAAAGTATATTGGAGCAAATTATAGCAGAGAACTTCCTTAATTTGGGGAAGGAAATAGGCATCAAAATCTAGGAGGCACAGAGAACCCCCCTCAAAATCAATAAAAATAGGTCAACACCCCAACATCTAATAGTAAAACTCACAAGTCTCAGAGACAAAGAGAAAATCCTGAAAGCAGCTCAGGACAAGAGGTCTGTAACCCCCATGGTAGAAACATTAGATTGGCAGCAGACCTATCCACAGAGACCTGGCAGGCCAGAAAGGACTGGCATGATATATTCAGAGCATTAAATGAGAAAAATAGGCAGCCAAGAACACTATATCCAGCTAGGCTGTCACTGAAAATAGAAGGAGAGATAAAAAGCTTCCAGGACAAACAAAAACTACTTTTAGTAGTTTTTGTGAACACCAAACCAGCCCTACAAGAAATATTGAAAGGGGTCTTCTAAGCAAAGAAAGAGCCTAAAAGTAACATAGACCAGAAAGGAACAGAGACAATATACAGTAACAGTCACTTTAAAGGCAATACAATGGCACTAAATTCATATCTTTCAAGAGTTACCCTGATTGTAAATGGGTTAAATGCCCCAATCAAAAGGAAGATGAGGAAGGACACGACATCATACTTAAAGGGTCTATCCAACAAGAAGATCTAACAATTTTAAATATCTATGCCCCTAACATGGGAGCAGCCAATTATATAAGCCAATTAATAACAAAATCAAAGAAA